TATGCTAAGCCTTTAGAGTTTCTAAATGAATCACTGAAACTTTCAGAGAGTCCTAAAACAAAGTCATAACTAGATTACAGGATTGGTGCAAATGATGGAATCTCCTGCCAACAATGCTGACTATCATTTGAATGGTATTAGACGAAGCATCAGACGAGGATAAAGGGGAAAAAGGCAGGTTGAAATTCACCGACTCAGTGTCACTAGGTCAGGGGTAGGCAACCTTGGCTCTTTTATGACTCGTGGACTTCAACTCCCAGAATTCCTGAGCCAGCATGGCTCAGCTTGGAAACCTCTCCTTTTTCCCTCAGCATGGCTGCCTCAGGAATTCTGGGAGTTGAAGTCCACGAGTCATAAAAGAGCCAAGGTTGCCTACCCCTGCGCTAAAACTAAATGGATGAGCATCCAATCGATGAGCTGCCCTCAGGAAAAAGGAGAATATCCCTTTTTCACTGCTTTCCCCTCACCCAGGGGTGTCCAGTCTTGGCGATTAAGACTTGTGGACTTCAATTCCTCAAATTCCCCAACCAACTTTGCTGGCTGGGGAATTCTGGGAGTTGAAGTCCACAAGTCTTAAAGTTGCCAAGGTTGGATATCCCTGGCTTAACCCCACCCCCACATAACAGTCGTGTGAAGATGAAGCTCGTTGCCGACTCAAATCTCTCTCCAGGCTGGACCGAAGAATTAACATCACATACACCAGGGGTAGTCAACCTTGGCTCTTTTATGACCCGTGGACTCTTTTATGACCCGTGGACTTCAACTCCCAGAATTCCTGAGCCAGCTAAGTTGAGCTAAGCTGGCTCAGGAATTCTGGGAATTGAAGTCCACGGGTCATAAAAGAGCCAAGGTTGACTACCCCTGACATACACAGTTACCCACTGACCACATTTATTAAAGAACCAAGTAGAGAAGACTCAAAAATGGTCCGTTGCTTTTTTAAAAAATAAAAATAAAATAAATCATAGCCAGCTAAATTGATCAAGAAGTATATGGAATCTTTGACCAATACCTTACCAGATGAGCTTGTAGGGGCTTCCACAGCATTTGCCAGACGAGCAAAGAGATGCATCTGTCACCAGGAACAGGGAAGGGATTCGAAGGATTCAAAATTATTTCCCCAAAAAGGAAATGTAGGAATAGGAATTGTTTACATCCAACACAAAGTTTCTTGGGCACAACTCAATTCATTTATAAATGCACTATTATTGTGAAGCACTGTTTGTACCTCAGCATAAGGCTGAGTCATGAGGGGTGTCGTTTGAGGGGTGTATTGAGGTGTGTAAAGTGGGTCCAGGAGGGGAGTGTGTGTCACTGGCTTCATCATAAATCTCTCTGAGCAAGAGGGAACAAGAGGCTAGATAGGGTGGGTATCTTGCCTGCTGGGTTCAATACAGGTAATCTTTGACTTATGACTACAACTGGGACCAGAAATTCGGTTGTTAAGTGAGTCGTGCCTGATTTTACAACCTTTTGAGTCGATCACGGCAGTTGTTAAGTGAATCCTGCTTCCTTCGTTGACTTTGCTTGTGGGAAGCCAGCTGGAAGGTTCGCCAATGGTGATCCCACGATCCCTGGATGCTGCAACCGTTGTAAATCCATGCCTAAATTTTGATCATGTGACCTTGGGGAATGCTACGACAGTCATAAGTGCGAGGACCGGTCGTAGAACAATTTTTCCAGTGCCGTTGTAACTTCGGACAGTTGCTAATGGAAGTGCCTGACAAGGGCCATCTGTAAAATCCCAGACCATGTACCAATCAAGCCCCTTTTCAAGGCAATCCTGAGTCCTCTGGCTTGGGGATCACGGAAAGGTTTTGGAAAAACGGGAGGGCCTGGGGGGGGGAGTCTTCCTGCTTCTTTTTGCCTACAAAGTGTAAATTGCAGCAGAGTTGCTTGTGCTGTTTCCGTGTCGGTCTCCATCTCAGAAGGCACAGCAGTGATACCAATCGCTGGGTTGTCTAAGGAGAGGCAGGCGGGATGTTGTGGCTGGAGGGCCCGATTGCGTCTGCAGATCCCAGGAGCCGGCCTGCGAGATAAAGATCGTCTGTCTCCTTTTATCAGCAGCCGTGTCGGCTCCCAAACTAGAACAGCAGCTCTCAAGGTTGCGTGTCTGGAGTTCCTGATGAATTGCTGTCATTCACTGGGGTGCAAAGGAAAAGGGGGTGGGGGTTCCTTCTCTCCTTCCCAGGCATGTTGAGTTTCTTTGGTCTCTGCTGAAAATATGGGAGGGGGCTTGAAAGGCAGTTTCTGTCCTTCTGGACCCCTTCTTCCCACTTGCAACTGAGGAGAAGGGACCGATTCAAATTATCCACAATATGGGCGGTACGGGTAGTCCTTGACTTGCAACAGTTCATTTAGTGGCCATTTGAAGTTAACAGTGGCATTGAAAAAAGAGACTTATGACTGTTTTTTCACACTTGTGACGGTGGTGACATCCTCCCTTGGTCACATGATCAAAATTCAGGCGCTTGGCAACTGACTTCATATTTATGACAGTTTTAGTGTCCCGGGTCATGTGAGATCTCCTTTTGTGACCTTCTGAAGCCAGGTTCACTTGACAAGCGTGTTACTAAACTTAACAACAGCGACTCACTTAACAACTGTGGCAAGAAAGGTCGTAAAATGGAGCAAAACTCCCTTAACAAATAATCTCATTTAGCAACAGAAATGTTGGGCTCAGTTATGGTCGTAAGTTGAGGACTACCTGTAGCGGTTTGGGTTTAGCAACAGAAAAAGCGGCCCAAAGCCTAAGGAAAAGCCTTGGCTTGCTTGATCAGGTCCCATCCAACCTAAAATTCTCTCTTTTTGTACATCTATCCGAGATTGTATAATAAAGTGTGTCGTTGTGGTCCTTTCAGCAGAAATGTTATTATCAGGCTAAATAACATCGCCATTTGTAACTCCCCTCTCCTTCACACTGATTGTCAACATTTAGTTCAGTGATGGCAAACCTTTTAGAGACCGAGTGCCCAAACTGCAACCCAAAACCCACTTATGTATCGTCAGGTGCCGGATGGGCGTGGCCCATTGGGTGGGCGTGGCTGCGATGGTAACGGCAGACTAGGTGGGACTAAAAAGTTCAATCAATTAATTCCAACTTTGCGAGACCTTTTTGTTTCCCGCGAGAAGTTGAAATTGATTGATTGATTGAACCTTTTTTTTTTTTTTTTTTTTTTGCACATGGCGGTGGAGGCCTCAAGAGAAAAGGTTTTATAAAACCCAGCTAAAGGCCTAGGACTGGGGCAATGGTGCGCGTGCCCACAGAGAGGGCTCTGCGTGCCACCTGTGGCACACGTGCCATAGGTCAGGGCTTTTCAACCTTTTCACCCATTGTACCACTTTTAGAATGTGGCAATAACCGAGTACCACCAGTCGCATAGCAAGGTGTCAAAAAACTTGACCCAAAAAAAAAAAAATGAAAAAAGTGATAAAGTACAGGTAGTCCTCGACTTATAACAGTTCGCTTAGTGACTGTTCGAAATTACAATGGCACTGAAAAAAGTGCCCCCCAAGGCACAGCCGAGCAAGACACCTGCCTGCCCGGCCGGCCGCACTCTTCCTCCTGTCTGAGGTTTTCATTGTTGTGAGCATTTATGTTGAGGATTGGCAGTGGGGGTTGGGGGGTGTTTGGTTTTTATTCTCCTCGTCTGCTGGGTGGTTGCAGCAGGTTTTGGTCACTTCACATGACCCTGGGACACTGTGACCGTCATAAATATGAATCAGTTGCCAAGCATCTGAATGTAAATCACAAGACCCTGGAGATGCTGCAACATTCCAGCTGATCGGTGCTTCTTCTGGGCTCAGCAGAAGAGCCAGGATCAGCGCTGAGCTCCAGCTGGAGCCTGGCGCTGATCCTGGCACTTCCACTGAGCCCTGACAGCCCCGAAGAAGCACTGATCCTGGCGCTTCCGCTGAGCCCTGACAGCCCTGCAGCTCCAGCCATCTCTCACTCAGGCTTGTGCGGTACTGCCACCGGTTCAGCTCATTCCCCTCCCCCACTACCACTTTTCTAGGATGGTCGCGTACCACCTGCCAGGTGCCAATGTACCACAGGTGGTACCCGTACCACTGGTTGAAAAGCCCTGCCATAGGTTCGCCACCACGGATCTAGTTCCACGATCCAGATAAATCACCAGCTTCATTCCATTTCCGAAAATCTTACTGTTTATTGAAACTGGGGCAGGGTACTTACTCATCTAGTCCAGAGGTGTCAAACTGCCGGCCCACGGGCCGGGCGCGTCATCAGGAAGCCACGCCCACCCCATTGCTGGCAATGGCGAAAAATCTCCAATACGTTCCGCCACGTCACGTGACGTCGCGAGTTTGACATGTCTGATCCAGTCCAACCCCCTGCTCAGGCAGGAAACCCTGTACCATTTCAGACAAATGGCTGTCCAGTCTCTTCTTAAAAGCCTGCAGTGTTGGAGCATTCACTGTTTCTGGAGGCAGGTTGTTCACTGTCTTGGTATTTATTGTTTACTTTACTGCATTTCTGTCCCCCATCCAGTTACTCTCCAGGTTTAGCTGCTTCGATATCAGCCATAATTGCCCCATGTTGAGTGAGAACAAAAAACAAAAACAAAACATTTTTGTTCCGGCAGTGCTACATTCCGCTTGGCATCGATCAAAATCTGAGGAGGTTGGTTAGGGCTGATAAAAGCTACCCATAGCCTGGTCTGTTTTGTCCAGTCCACTTATCCTGTGAGCTCATTCTGAAGAAGGCCTTCTTGAAACCCATTGGTGACTTTCCTCCTGGTTAATCTTCCTTTCCTTTCTTGAATTCTAAAACCAGCAGTCCCCATTAAAGAGATGATCCATTCCTTAATGTCACAATTTTATCAAGAGCTACTTAAAGATCACTTGTTCCTGTCACCGGGTTTCATTGTAAAAGAGGTGTGCAGCTTTGACTAATGGCTCCCTTTGGCGTTAGTGGAAGCAACTCTAAGGAGGCTTAATTCTTGATGCCTCTTATTATTCTTTTTTCCTGTTTTCCACAGGGGTCGGGAGAGAGCTACTTGGAGAAATCGGAGCGCTTATATCTGCAGATGTGCTCAACTAGAGAAAAGGTGAAGCACCGTGGCATTCTCCCTGCAACCGTGCAGAGGATTTGGGACCCAGGATACTTAGACAACCTGGTTTGCAATACAAGTAGTCCTCGGTTTATGACTGGTTGGCTTAGCAACTGGTCAAAGCTCCCACAGGCCTCCCCGTGAATAGTTACAACAGAACTGGATCACGCACACACAGAAGTCACACGACTGTATTGCAGGCACTCAGCCGTCAGCCCCCATTTACAGCTGTTTGCCGTGTCCTGCAGTCACATGTCCACATTTCATGGCATTTTTAGCTGAAAACTGGCATTTGTGTCTTGTTATCGGCAAAACCGGTTTTGCGAGATTCATTTAGTGACCGCCACACAAAGATTGTAAAATTGGGTCAGTCATCTGACCAGCCTGATTTATGACCATAATGGGCAGGTTCCATTATGGTCATAAGTGGAGGACTACTTGTATCTGTTATGAAAGAGCACTCAATTACATTGGTAAAAGTCATTCATCTTAACATATGCTTTGCTCTCAGCAGATTGAGACCTGGCTGGGTGGCTGCAGAATTTCCTCATCTGCTTTGTTGCCCTTACAGATCCCAAAACACCCTTAATAAAACTAAATGTCAAATAATAAAACAATGTGATTAAAGGAAGGTTCATCACTGAATTCATTAAGTGACTTCTCCCAATCTCTCTCTCTTTCTCTCCCTTTCCTCTCCCTCTCTCTCTCTTTCTTCTCCCCCTCTCTCTTTCCTCTCCCCCTCTCTTTCTCTCTCTGTCTTTTCTCTCTTTTCTCTCTTTCCTCTCCCTCTTTCTCTTTCCTCCCTCTCTTTGTCTTTCTCTCTTTCCTTTCCCTTTCTCTCTTTCCTCTCTCTTTCTCTCCTCTTTCTCTCTTTCCTCTCCCCCCCCTCTCTCTCACTCTCTCCCTCCCTTAATTTCCCAAATTGGTTGCAATAAAGAGGAAGGTACATCAGGTCCAAAATAGTATAAACAATTGCTTTCTCTTCCCTCAACCACACAAGAAGGCATTTTTTTTACCATTAAAAGTCTGATGATTTTCTTGGCCTTAAAATAGCAAGGTTGACCCAATCCTTCCAGATCTTACTCCTACCGCTGGCAAGTCACCCCCTCCATCTCATCAACTTTAAGATGGGTGGACTTCAAACCCCAGAATTCCCCAGCCAGCATGCCTGCGGGACTTTGGGAGTTGAAGTCCTCCCATCTTAAAAGTTGATGAGGTGCAGAAGAACTAAGGTAGGTGGCCCCCTTTCCAGGTTCCGTTCTTATCGTGGTTTGTCCTCTCTTTATAGAACTTGATGGGAGACCAGGAGCAACTGAAAATCCAGGTGACAGAACTAGAGGAGGAAGTGAGCACCCTGCGGAAGATCAACAAGAGTCTCTTCGACTTCTCCAGCTCTATCATCACCTCAGCCAAATAGAACGGCTTCTGAAGCCTGGTTAGAGGTGGAAGGAAAGACAGGAGTCATCTGGGACACACACAGCCATTTCCTTCATGATAAAGTTCGATGCAAACGTTACAGAGAGACCCCCTCGGAACCGTGTCTAACTTCAGGGCTGGACATGGAAGCCTCTAGCATCTAGGTGTTCCCGGAAGAGGCCTACCCAAAAAAAAAATCTCTATGGGTAACAGTATGGAAGGAGAATAATCTAGAAGGGAAGAGAAATGGCCCCTTTTCTCTTACAGTGCAGCTTCCTACAAGGTCCTTTCATTCCTCAAACAGAGCAACTGTAGATGTTCCTCAAGATGCCACCATCCCCCTTTCTCCAGTTGGAAATCACACGGCTGCTTTAGAACTCCTCTTGTACTTGGGAACTTCTGGGCATTGAAGACAACCATGGGCTTTGAATGCATCCCACTCAGTAGGTGGAACTGCCCTCATGGTAATTGGCCAAGGAGAGGGACAATTGACAAGCATGAAGAATGACCCGTGTAGCTGGACTGAGCACAGAACCTTCCTGTCCTCAAGATCCTGCTGGGAAAAAAAACCCGGAGAGATGGGGAAGATCATATTTCCTTGTGTTGTCCTCATTTGGAAAGGGTGAAAAAACCTTCCCTGCAAGGGCAACCTGGCATGATAAGAAAAAAAAACATTTTTTTTTTACCATCACAGAACAGCAAAAAAAGGGATGGGTGGGTCTTTTTTACTGACATGCTACTCTTCTTGCAGAAGAATTGTGGACTTTTTGTCTGGTCCATCATTCTACCAACTTACGCACAGACCTTTTAGCCAACAGGATGTCTAGTTAGGATTCTTTCAAGGCAGCTCCTTTGGCTTCTGCACAGTTGCAAGTTTCAGCACCAACCTCAGGATGCATCTGTCATGTAGCAGATTTACTTTCATTGGGTTATCTTGCTTCATTTTACTTTCTGGTTCTGTCTTCAGCCAAATTGTTCTTTGTTGTATTATGCATTTTAAAAAAAACACAACCAGCAAAACAAAAAATGGTTAGCATAAGTGTTTGATGCTATTTTCTTTTTCCCCTTCTGCTTTAATGGTACCGTCTGCCTCCTAGCAAATGGCTCTACTACTGTGTCCTGTTTGGGAGATTTCCAGAGCATCTGCTGAACCCCACTGGAAAGGAGGATACTGGGCTTAAGTGGAATGACAGTTAAGTGAAATATTCACCTTCAGGAACGGTCCATTTCAGAACACCAATTGCAAGTCACAAATAAAAGGGAGTGTAGCTGTTCAGTCCCATTTACAAACTTCTCAAGACTATCAAGTGGGTAATTCTAGATGGTGACAATTGATCCAGCGAGCTGACTTTTGTGGTCTTGTTAATGGGGCCTAACATGAGAGCAAACCATGTAGGCCACATGTTCAGGAGCAGCATTGTTCCACGGGAGAGAGAGCAAATCGCTTTTCTTTACCATATGGCCTGTGACTGAATTTTCCCAGCAACATCTGGCTGGGAAGAGGTTGAGTCCTGCCAAGCACGATCTGCATCCATAAATTGTTGCCCAAGAACAATTGGCTTTGTTTTTTGCAAACTGGAGAAAAGGCAGGGATTTCTCCTAATTGCATAGAAAGTGAAATCAGCCTTGACACTCTGCGTGGGAGGAAGACAAGAAGCAGAAAGTTGTCCTTAGCAAGTCCTTTGGGGGAGGGGGGGGAAAAACCCCTAGTCCTCAACTTGTTTCTCCCAGATGATGACTTTACCCTTTTCGAGGCTCGGTTGCCCCAAACTGGCATGCCTGCAATATTGACAGAGACGTCTGGCATAAGGAAGGCAACATAATTCCATTTGTTTTGAACCGCTGCTATTCGTTCTGCTTAGCAGCTTTCGTGTCCCCTTCATTTCCTAGCCATGCATAAGAGAAGTTTAGGCCAGTGATGGTGAACCTTTTAGAGACCGAGTGCCCCAAACCCGCCCCGCTCCTGCTCCGCCCGCCCGCTCCAGCCCTTCTGCCATCGCTCCGCCTGCCCGCAGGGCCACCCACCACCTCCGTGGCCTGCCGCAGATTGCCCAGGCGGCCCTGCAGCGCCATGGCGGCCACGCCCTCCGCCTGTGCCCAACAGCATTATCTGCGCACGACGGGGCGCAAGGGCGGAGTCTTGTCCCGGCTGCCATTGCTTGGCTGTGCTGCTCCACGCAGGCTGCGCCAGGGGTCGACTCTCTGGGGGGCTGCTGGTGAGGGGGCCATGTGGGGCTGGGGTGATGGCGCAGAGTTCTGAGTGCCGCCTCTGGCACGCATGCCATAGGTTCGTCACCACTGGTCTAGGTCTTCGGAGGAGACGACAAGCTCTCCTTTGGACTTTTAAACAGAGCAGGGAATGAAACTCCCACAGCTCTTAATCAAAACAGCAGGGTCCCCTTTTTTAGTCATAGCTGCCTGCTCCCCACTTCCCCATCCCAATGCACATTTTTATTTTATCAAGGCAGGGAGCTTAGTGTCGTGGTTCTTAGATCCTGGTTCAGAGGAGGAGGAGAAGGAGTTGGAACCTGGACCGTCCGACAGGGAGGACTCCGAACAAATGGGGCTGAGGACGAGGCAGTCCTGGGGAGGGGGGGGGGGAGAGGGTGGCTGATCTGACGGAGGTGGGTCATTTGTCACTGCAATAAGTGAGCCATAAACACCCTCCTTAACCTCTGCCTTGCCAGCATGAGTTGGGTCAGAAAACTTAACAGGTGGCTAAGAATTCCATCCCTTGCCTTCCGTTTCAGTGGAAGGATAGAAGTAGCATTTTCTTTCAGGGTTTCTGTGAGAAGGCCGCACCATCGTTTTGTCAGACCCAGGAAAGTTGGAAGCCGCCATGCATCTGACAGGGCAGTTTGTCTGTCTTCGTGTGTCTCGTGAAACTGACAGTGGCCCTGACTCAGAATTCCTGCTTCCTCCCTCCCTCCTCACTTCATTTCATTTCATTTTATTTGATTTATATCCCGCCCTTCTCCCGACGGGACTCAGGGCGGCTCACAACATATTTAAAACAAAGACATACCCACAATCCCCGCCAAATAAAACCAAATTAAAAACCAAATATTTTAGAGTTGTGGTATTAAAATTTTTCTAAAAAACCCAATTTAAAATCCTCCCTAGGCCAGGCCCGCTTGTTGGAAAAGCCATGTCTTGAGGGCGCGGCGGAAAGTAAGGAGATCCGGAATCGTCCGGATCTCGGGGGGTAGTTTGTTCCAGAGGGCAGGGGCACCCACAGAGAAGGCCCTCCCCCTGGGGGTCGCCAGCCGACATTGCTTGGCCGACGGCACCCTGAGGAGACCCACTCTGTGGGAGCGTACCGGTCTATGGGAGGGAATCTGTGGCAGAAGGCGGTCTCGGAGATAGCCAGGTCCTATGCCATGGAGCGCTTTAAAGGTGGTAACTAACACC